GATATTTTTCTTTGAAACAGACTTTTCTTTTTCTTTTCAGCGAGTCATTTTTGAATGATTGTAGTAAAGATTTATTCCGTCTTCTTGCAACAGTTGAGAATATTGGGTGCAACACAAGGATTCAGGAGTTCCTGAGCTGCAACCAAGCAGCAGATCATGTTTTACTGTGCCTTAACTCCTGTAAAACAGAAGTAAAGCTTCTTGCCATCTTAGTGTTGTTGAAGAGGAAAATAATGAAACTGTTTGTTTGGACAAAAATATTGGAAGTTTTTTGATAGGAAAATGATGGCCTCATCATCAATGGTTGTCTCACCAGGAGTCAAACTGTCTTTGTTTTACACCAAGCTAGAAAAGGTCTTTTCTAATCTGATGGTATGGAGCACTAGAGAGCCTAGATGTATGGATCAGTCTCAAGGGCCAAGCAGCATTCATCCTGAGGTGAGGTGCTCATTCTGATAACACAAATCTCCTGGGCACACAAAAGCCAGTGCAGACACATCTGACAGCCATACATGGAGAACAGTGTTGAGATTAATCAGCAATGTGCACTCTACAACCTCTTTCTATATCTGTCTGAACCTCATGGGTAAAGCTTGGTGGGCATGAAGCACCTGGGATGGGCAAGGGTTAATAGGTAAATCAGGAGGAGTAGGAGAGCAAAGTCAACACGAGGAGTATATATGGATAGAGGAGACAGAGAACAAATAGGGAACAAGGCAACCGTTACCACTGTCTGGGTGAATAACTTACTTAGATGTGGCTTGGATTATCAGAAGCAGAAGCTTTTGTAGCTGAGTTACTTGTCAGGCAGTTCCAAATGCCCCACCTTGCCTGCCTTCTATTAACAAAGCATTGGAAAAATATTGTCCAAGTCTTTACACAAAGCCTTTTGTTGGCTGGCCAACTTCAAAAAACATTTCTTTTCTCCTCCATCTGACAACATTGCCATGAAAAACAGGAAGAGATTGAATGCAGTACTTTAAACAGTCAAACTCCATTTCCTGCCAAAAGGAAAAGAAAATACCGGCAAAAGGCAGAAGCCAGGAGATAGTTGGGGACAGACATTCTGATTATCTCAGACAGATATTCGCACTGTGTATCCGGTAAAAGCTGCAGTGGTGGAAGTGACACCTTTTCATTTCAGGGAATGCAGATTGTTAGGCTGCAGAGCAGCAGGTGATGCTGTGAGACAGATCAGGCTGGGATCAGGGTTGCAACCAGCTCATAAGTTAACACTTAGGATTGCACGCTAACAGTGCACTCTGTGTGAGTGTGTTGCTGCCAGGGGGGTTGGAACAAGATGGTTTTCAAGGTCCACTCCAACCTAAGCCATTGTATGACTCTATGAGAATTTATTGCAAGCCAGGGTCCACCAAGGATCCCCGATCTTCTCACATCTCCCCAGCAGGCCCTGGCACATTCACAGTTCCCTAGGGGCAGTCTCCAGTATCTTCCTCTTCTTCATTCATCCTTACATGTCCCACATAGCAGTTCATCTGCTTGTTCCCTAAGGTTCAACTTCTGCGCATCCCAGTAATGTAATTTCCACTGAGCTTCAAAATGTGCCCACTTGTAATCTTACTTCATCATACAAAAAGCCAACAAATCTACCAATGATCAAAACCAGTACCGAAATGACCCATTCCCAACTCTATCCTCCTCTCGAGCTGCCTTTTTAAAAAAAAAAAAAAATTCAGCATGTTGATACAGCATGATGTGTATTTAAATCACTGTCTTTTTTATCCAACATGAAGATCATTTTCTGCTTAAAAAAACAAACATCCTTTTCACGCTAGAGCAGCCTTTCCATCTGCCAATACTCTGCATATCTATACAGCCTCTCTCTCTCTGCTCCACGGAATCATAGAATCATTAAGACTGGAAAGACCACTGATCAATCTATCAACAGATGTCTATGATCACTCTAAACTCAGTGCCACATCTACCCTCTTCTTGAACACCTTCAGGGTTTGTGACTCCATCACCTCCCTGGGCAGCCTGTTCCAATACCCCACCACTCTTTCTTCAGAAACTTTCTGAATTTAGACTGACAAAACCACAAAAGAGGTGGCATTTTGGTGGCACACATAATTCCTTGTAGATACTCAAAGGAAACAAAGGTGCTCTCTAAGGCTGTGTACGTCGTAATGGCTCCAGTATCAGGAAATGAGATTAAAAGTGAGGGAAAGCTTCCTAGCAGCAGAGATAGATCATGTAGGGAGAGAGGGGAGCCTGCCTCACTGGAGGTTAAGAACAGGTGAGACAAACATCTGTCAGAAATGTTATAAGTAAGGCAGGAGGGCAAATCAGATGACCTCATAAGATTCTTTTTTTTTTCACAGTCTCATTTTTCTCTGATTATATGAATTTCTAAGCATTTGGGGTCAAGAGTACTGTTTAAATATAAGTTATTATTCTGCATTTGCAAGGTACAGAGAGGAGAACCAGAGATATTACCTGCATCTATTCATCACGAGGGTGAATTTGCAAATCAACTGCCCAGACATAAAAATCCATCTTTTTTTTATGCTGAAGTTTAAGAGGAGGATAGCTATAGCACAGGAGAGGAATGTACATCAAGGATTGTCCATTCATCTCTGGTCTTTCCCAGGCCAGATTTGACCAAGGTGCAAGGACAGTGTGATGAGCCCAACTCCAGGGTCCAAGAGTAAGTGTCTCAAGGAAGGACTGGCATATGTCTTCTTACAGTGTTTCTCTGAGATGCTCAGAGGGGGTTTCCCACAGCTTCTCTTTACCCATCTGCTCACTGAGTAGCATATCAGCTGTATCTGTGGGATTTTGGCTGCTGGATACACGGCAGCAGAGCTGAACTTCAAGTCCACCCTTTATCATGGGCAGGTTAGGCTTCTATCCTGCACTAGCAGAGACACATTTTATATTCAAATTTAATAATAATAATAATAATAATAAAAACATATGAAAAGTCACGCTGGTAACCTTATAATTGGTTTTATAGCTGTTCCAATCCACTTGCAAAAAGGCAGAGCAGCAGTGCTGGTGGACTGCTGGCAAGCAGGACATCTATCAGCAACAGAGATGAGGCCCTCACGGACATATGTCCAGGCTCCAAAATACTTCACCGACCATCAAATATTTTCCAAGCTTAGCAGCTGGACTCTGCAGCCCTTACAGCAGCCAAGTCACTAATACCTCTTCCCTCGGGCAACACAGCTGATCTCAGGCAGGGCTTGCCAGCAGCTCTAAGTAGACTCATTAAAGGAGAGCACAGCCCACTTAGTTACACTTTTCAGACTCTTATTTTCTCTTCAAGGATCTCCGGGCTCTTTTTCCAGATGGGATGCATTAGCATCTCTGATTCACAGTCACAAAGATGCTCTTACAGTTTTCCCTGCTGTGCCACACAGACCCCAATTTGTTGTCCTCTCCCCAGTCTCTGCAGTCCCGTCCCTCCAAATTTGCTCTAATATATCCCAGATTCATCCCAAGGGACAATGTTGGCCTTTTTTCTCCTTTCTAAAGCCACAAAGACAGGTGATTGAGGGATTTCAAAACTGTTGGTTTGAGAGGTCCTGTGCTGCAAGCATTAGTATGGAGCACAAGTGGAGCAGATTTGCAAATATATGGAAAGGCTTAACAGCCTGGGAAAGTAACTCCAGTGGGAAACTCCAGCTTAAATCTAAAGGCAGCTTTTTGAATGTGTGGAGGCCTTGAGGCTAAACAAACAAACAAACAAACAAAAGAAAAAAAAATCAAAGCACAGTCTTTCTCCCTGTGAACCCATAGGGGGTTTGCTGCTGGCAGAGGTCTAGACAGAAGGGATCCCACCAAACCAAAGGGCTTGTCCCTCCTCAACTTCAGTGTAGGACTGTGAGAGCAGTGCAAGGTCACACAATGCTGTGCTTGTGCAAAGGAAAATTAGGACAGGGTAAGGCAGGATCAGTCTCCCTGCAATGATATTTCCATCTGCATTCCTCTTAGTGTGCCCTTGTCCTGCAAAGGAACAACAGCAGGGATTCCCCAGCAAAGGATGCTTAAGTACAAAGGAAAGCATGAGCAATCCCATATACTGAGCCATGTCTCTGCTATGAGATTATGCGGCAGGAAGGCACTCTGGTGTTTCTTCATATTCCCTTTGCTCAGACTTGAACTTGCCTCTTACTTGAAAGAACTAATTAAGGATGGAAATCAAAGCCCAGAGAGGCAGCTATTACAGCAGCCAGGGTGCAGTGCCGACTGTAATGCTGATTTCTGTGCATGGTATCAAAGCCAGCCACGTATTGGTGGGGCTGAGGCAGATTTCCGCGATGACACTTCAGTGAACTGGTGGAATAAACTAAGAGAATTTCTTAAGACCATTTGTAGGTCAGGTAGACCAACCTCTTCCTCTGTCCTGCCCTTATATGTTGTAGCATTTAATCCTTGATCTGTAGCCAGGCCTTAATTTTTTTCCAGTGCGCAGACAGTGTAGAGCTGGTTTGAAGGAGGAAGACAAGGGACTTTGATGGTTAATGATCAGCGCTACTCAGCCCCAGAATAAATGAAGTACTGCTTTCACAAAGCTCCCGGAAAAAATCCTGCCTCAACTCCAGCCTAGGGAGATAAAATTCCACCATCAGACACAAAAATAAGCACAAGCAGTTAAGGTTATCTAAGTCTTATTTTGGTTTATGCTTGAGCCAATACTGCAGAAGGGAGCGTGATTTCACCCCTAATGAATTTCACTGTGAAATAACAAGAGCAGGACAATCCTTTCCAGAGATTTCAAGGCCTCTTGGCTTATTCCATCAACAAACATAAAATTCCTGGGAAGGTCAGAAAGTGATGCCTTCCTCAACTTGACCACGAGTAAACTGGGGCATGAGCCAGTTAGATTAGATGGTGTCATGAGCCAGAGGTAAAACCAAGACTGGGATGAGGCAGTCTTAGTTCTTCACTCCCTACTGCAACCATAGAGGCACACTTTAAACTCTGCAAGAACGTGAGGAGGTCAAATGTGGGTGTTTAAAGGCTAGACTTACCGCACTGCTACAGGGAATGTCCTTGACTTTGAGCCAGGCCAGATCTAATGTCCCCTCTCCCCTGTAGCAGGACTGCAGCCTGTCTTTGATGCGATCGTTGATTTCTTTCAGGACAAAGATGCAAAGAGCAGATTCATCCAAGGACTTCATCTTCCTTTTCTGCCCCTTAGAGAAGACTGTGAAGAGGATATCATCCTCAGGGACAACACCCAAAGACCTTGCTAAAATGGCTCCAGCCTTGGACAAATAGGCTGCCTGGAGCAACCGATATTCCACCCCGTTCTTCTCACAGCCAATGGGCACCTCAACATAGGAGTTGAAAGCTGTGTCCTCTTTGCACAACCGGACCAACTTAGAGGTATAAACTTGTTCTTTTGTGGTGGAACCAGGTGGTGAGATCATCTCAGGCTGCAAAGTTAGGAAATAAACAAAGTTACCGCTGCTGAAGCCATAGATGTAGTAGATATCAAAATCAGGGATGATGGTGAAGGTGTCTGAGGGGATTTTGATCATAGATGCCACAAACTCATCATGGAAAACGTATGCAAACATCCCATCTGCCTCAGAGTTCTTAGTAAGCTTTCTGCTAGAGATAGTGGGGAAATACTCAGGTTTGCCATCCACAGCAGTGGCAATGAACAACTTGTCATCCATGTTGCTGTAAGAAACAATGACTCCAAAAACAGAGCCACTCTCATTCACGCCGGAGAGGTAATGCTCCTTCTTGTGGAAGGGTTCTCCCAGCTTGAAGAGGTCATCCAGCCTCAAAAGCTTACAGATGCCCTGGTAAAGACTCCCACAGGCTATCAATCGATTCTCCTTGTAGTCTATGAGGAGCATTTTGTTGATGTTGTTAGTGGGTGTCAAGGGTTCGTTGCAGGTTTGGACTATCCTGGGAGGATAGCATTTGGGATTATCATCATCAGGACCAGTCTGGTGGGTCACCAGGACCTTCAGGTCACTGGAGAGTTTATAGATCCTGTTGACGGCTCCCAGGTAAATGTGCCCAGTCCTTTCATCAACCACTAAATGGTTGAAGTTCCCCTCCGTTTGGTCTCCAGTGAAGGTGATGAAGGGCCTCTTTGGGTGGGGAGGCTGCTGTCTCCCAAGAGGTGACACTGTGGCAGATAACAGGAGGTGAGAAACCAGGCAAGTCCACTTCCACATGGCTGGTGACATATTTAGAAATGTTTGTATTCCCAAGGGAATGAGGATTGGAAGCTGTAAGTGTCTTCAAAACACCAATTCCCTGGCAGATTTTGTCCTACAAGCAAAGAGAAAAGAAAACAAAAGTATGTTACTGTGGAGTATTTCTTCCTCCTCCCTCCTTCACAACCATGCCATCATCAGAGCATATTTAATTGCTAATCCTCCTTTTCTCGCCTCAGAGCTCTCTACTTAAAACCAGCACAAAGGGAGTCCTCCTGAAAGAGGAGATGCTAGTAGAAAGAGCAGAAATTACATAGCAGAATAATAAATCAGTGCCCTTTTAACCTCTACTACACGCACATGTGCCCCATGGTACAGCACAAAAACTCACTGGAAGCCAGAATAGTGCAGAAGCATCAAGCAATATTACTGTTTGCACTGCCAGTTTTGACCCAACTGTGTATTTGTTGAGACAGGACAGGAGAAGGATTATTATTCTGCTCTTCCAGATGAGGAAATGAAGCCTAGAGAAGGTCAGGGACCTGTCTGCAGGGATAAGCCCAGATGGCTGGTAAGCTTTCCTGTGACTCTTCAAGTTTGCCAGGAAGAAGCCAACTCTGGTCTGACATTAACATCCTTTCAGGGAGACACTGGTCCTGAGCAGGACTGTTTGACCAAGCTCTCTGTGGCTTCCAGATCAAAGCTGCCTCATGGCAGTCCAGCTTGGGGTACAGATGTTGGAGTTGTGGTGTGCCAAACTTCAGAGCAACATCTACAAGGGGCACGCCGCCAAGCATAAAGCAAACTGGGCACCATGTCTTCTCCCTCATAAAATCATACAATCATAGAATGGCCTGGGTTGGAAGGAACCTCAAGGATCATCAAGCTCCAACCCCCCTGCCACATTCAGGGCCACCAACCCCCACGTTTAATACCAGACCAGGCTGCCCAGGGCCCCATCCAATCTGGCCTTAAATACCTCCAGGGATGGACAGGGCATCCACAACCTCTCCGGGCAGCCTGTTCCAGCACCTCACCACTCTCATAGTAAAGAACTTCCCCCTGACATCGAATCTAAATCTTCCTTCACTCCTTCAACTTAAAACCATTTCTTCTCATCCTGCCATTATCTACCCTTTCCAAGAATTGGCTCCCCTCCTGTTTATAGGCTCCCTTTAGGTACTGAGAAACTGCAATGAGGTCAACCCACAGCCTTTTCTTTTCCAGGCTGAACAATCCCAGATCCCTCAGCCCTCCCCTGATCCTTACCACGGCGCTGCTCTTCACCCCCTGCAAAGCCGAGACAACCTTGTCTAAATAAAAGATACAGTTCTGTGGGGCATTTCAGAAGGCTGAAAAGAAAGGACCTGCCCAGTTATTAGCAGTGATAAAGTCTCAAGGTCCATGATGTACAAAAGCTGACAACCCAGAGACTGGCCTGGTGATTCCCCCCAGAAAAACAAGGGGCTTTCTTGCACTAGTCAGTCACTTTAAATCTCCTAGCTCTTAACCAGAGTTGATGTGAGCCATGGGGGATTTCACCACATCCCAATCCTGAGCTGTGGGAATACATCCTCCCATTCAAAACATTCACCTGCTCCCTACTCCTCTTCCTTTTCAAGGTTGATTATATACCAAGAGAAGCTTTCAGAGAATCACAGAATCACTAGGGTTGGAAAAGACCTCAGAATCACTAGGGTTGGAAAAGACCTCCAAGATCTCTAAATTCAACCACCAACCCATACCTACCATGGCCACTAACCATGTCCCTCAGTGCCAAATCTACCCTTTCTTTGAACATCTCCAGGGATGATGACTCCATCAGTTCCCTGGGCAGCCTGTGCCAATACCTCACCACTCTTTCTGAGAATAAATTTTTCCTAATATCCAACTTGAACCTCCCCTGGCACAACCTGAGGCGCATGGAAGATGGATTTTCAATGCCTTGAGTTTTGCCAGCCAAGCTTTTTGCTGATTGCTGATTACACAACCCTTATTACAGGCAGCCAGGCCAAGGCACGCTGCTATTACCCCTCTCCTTCTTTAACATCCAGATCAGAATTCCACAGAATTCTTGTTGCTTATTAAAAGTCAAACAAATCAAATCCCAGCTTCAAATACCCTTGTGATTTGAATGCACTTCTGCAGACCACTGTCCTATCACTTCTCACAGAGTACCTTTGCTGGACTGAGGGGTGTAATTTGCTGAGTAAAGGTGACAACAGCCAGCAAGGAGGAGGCAAGGCAAGAGAAAGACTGCTGTTTGCAAATCCCAGCAGAGAGGAAGATGTGGCAGTGACACGGGGCTGGGATTCACAGCTTTTTCAAATGTGTGCCAGAGGAATGGAAAAATTTACTTCAAGGAATAACAAAAAGAAAAAAAATCGGTCTTCTTTTGACCTGTAAACTGATTTGATCTGATAGTGGAAAGGGTATGTCTGGGCTTCTAGAGCATCCACCACTTTTATGCCACCCCAAATATTTCAGACTTCTCAGAGCAGCCAGAATTTCAAAGCAGCTGCGTGATCCCCTCCACCTTCCTCTGCCCTCCGTACCACATCAGCCACAGGTGCTGGTTGAAGGACAGACAAAGGTCATTTCACATTTACTTTAGGCATGTTTACCCTGTTCTGCTTTGCCTTTCTGGTCAAGCAAATATTTAATAAAATCAAGATCATACTGCAGAGTTGGCAAGACTGTCCTGTGAGTTAGCGAGGATTCACTCTGCAGGGATGCACAGGACGGTCATGTCGGCTTTTAATAACCTTTATTATGATAGATAGAGAGGCGATGGGATGAGCACTCCCTGCACAGGCATTCCCCTTTCAAAAGAGGCCATCCTTGAGAGAGCAGCAGAAGAGAGAAGCTGTCCCTGTTTGAGTCCTGTGTTCAGAATCATTACGTGGTGACCCTGAACACTGGCGTCCGTCACTTCTGAGTTATGATCCATATTTCTAACAGATACTGCTTTGATCGGGCACTAGACAGATGTAGGAAGAAATTATTCTTTTGAAGTACAAAAAAGATGTCTATTTTACTCCTGTATTTTACTATATTTTACTCCTCTTAGACCAACTGAGTTAGCACAGCTGCAGGACAGGGAAATGGGAACTGCTATTACCTATGCTGGATATTAGGAAACATTTCTTCTCAGGAGTGGTGAGGCACTGGCACAGGCTGCCCAGGGAACTGGTAGAGTCACCATCCCTGGAGGTGTTCAAGAAAAGGGCAGATGTGGTACTGAGGGATATGGTTTACTGGGCATGGTGGGATGAGTTGACAGTTGGACTGGATGATCTTTGCCAACCTTAATAATTCTATGTTTCTATGACTCCAAGACTGAAGATGCATATAAAAGCCCCTCAACATGAGCTGTCTGCCCAAGGATTATTACAGTACTCTAGACTCGAGTTGTACCAACAGCAGGAAGTGCCCCTTTAAAATAAGTAGTCAACCCAACATAAGAGGCGATGCACTCCAGATGTGAAATCTTCAAGGTCCAAGCAAATGGAAATTGTGATTGAGTTTGAGAAGTGTCTGTGACTTACAGAGCAAGGGGGAAAACATTCTCTTCCTGCAGAGAATGACAGAAAACTTGGTTTGGAAACTAGAGGGGCTCCAGTGAAAAACTCCAAGAAGGGCGGATGAGAAGCACCCTTTGCAGCAGTCAAGGGCACTTAAAAAACAGAGAACTTCATGGGATAAGATGTCCACCTGCAGTAGGAAGAGCCACCAAGCAAGCACAAATGCAGATTTTGGAAGAAAGCAGAGCGCCTACCATCTTCATTCTGCAGCCTGAGTGACTGTAGGATGTCTAGGCTTCTCTCTGCTGGCTCTCCCTGTTCACCCATCTGCTCACATTGTCCTGTGCCCTTCATCCCAGAGTCCCAAGCAGTGCTTGAGCCTCTCAGGGTTAAAATTTCTAATTTGGCTTAATTATTAAATAGCAGCAGAGATCAGAGGCAAGGAGGATTGGATGTTTAGCTTGCAGAATAGAGCAGGGTTTGCATAACCCCTCAGAGAATACACCAAGGAAAAGGGGTTTTATGCATGTCTTTTTATTATCCACGTCTGGACAGCAGGAGATCAGAGATGTTGGGAAGACAAATACTGCAGTGCCATAGACATATGCAGTCTTTTAAGCTGCAAGGTTCTAATTACATTACAAGAAAAATAAACAAAAGACCAAACTGACCAGGCAGTGAGGTCTGGGCTTAGGCTCTGGTCTAGGTATTTCCAAAAGAAACCCAAACCACCTCCCAAAATAACCACATTCCCTTGCTTTTCCCCCTAGTGACATGGCCAGCAGTTCCATGACCCAGTGTGCAGAGCTCCTGTGAGAGCAGATCTACGTGGCTCCTGCCACATCTTCCTCTTTGCCAACATATTCAGGATCCCTGGAAAGGTCACACAGTTTCTACAGCCCCATGGATGTGTGAGGGGTACATGATCCAGTGATCCCAAGATTCTACAACATGCAGCTCTATGGGCCTTAGACAAGAAAAAAGCCCAATGGGAAGAAGCATTTCTAACTTCTTTTAACTGGAGACCAACACAAATCCATCCCATTGCAATTGCTGTTCCTGAGAGAGTGAAGATAGAAGACAACAGCATCTCCCCATTTGGTTCTCACACACACACAGCCCTCCTGACATCCAAGGTTGCAGACAGATCCAAATCACCAGGTCCCCTGCAATAGCCACCTTCTGCAGCAGGGACACTGCAAGGTCAGCAGCAGCATTTCACTAAAAGAGTTATCCATGCTAACCCGACTGCAAAGAGTTATAGATGCAAAACTACTCTGTGTCCAGCTTCAGCCAGGGCCTCAGAGCAAAACACAGGTTAGAACATAGAAGACAGCAAAAGCATGCTCAAAAACAGCGCCAAGAGAGGAACAAATCTGCCACCTCTTCCTGCAGAGCATGCCCAAAAACACCACACCAGAGTCCCAGAAAGCAGTGGATCAAGTTCATATGGACCCCAATGGCTTATTCAATTGGGAACACCTAGTTAGGAGGAAGCCAGCAGCAACCAGGACTACGGGGCAATGTCAACAGCACGAGCACTGCAGTTAATGAAGTCAAACATTAATCAGGCAGTGCGTTCCTGTTTGCTTTTGCTTTGCTCAGGCATGGCTATTCATTTGCTGGGACACAGGAGGCCCTGCAGATGCTGACAAGGCAGACGTCCAGCAATGGAGCCAGCACACAGCAATTCAGCACCAAGTGCAGCTACACAATCCCTTTAATCTCAGCTAAAGATTTTGTCCTGACTTCCCTTAATAAATCCTGATTACCATGGATAGATGCTTTTCTCTGGGAGCCGACACGGCAAGAAAACTCACACAGGCACGTTGTCGACAGCTCCCCAACAAAGAGCAGCTTCTAACTTCAGCTAAATCCTCCCTCCCTGAACACACAACCTGATGGAAAGCAAAGGCAACTCTCTCTGAGGGCATCCAACACCTTTTTTTGGGGTGGTTTTTTTTTTGGTTTTTTTTTTGGAGCTTGCCACAATGAACAGATCCCAGCACAAGCTGCAGCTTGTCCCAAATAGAGAGATTAATTTCAGCACTGGGTCATTTGCAAGGCACTTAAGCTCCAGCAACAGAATGTGGCCTTCACTCATCACACAGATTATTCTATTCAGGCACTCACATGTTGCCCATCACCTTGTTACCTGTGCATCTGACAGAAGAGCATTAAAGGAAGGGATTAACATTTGCCACGAGTGGGACTTTCTTTCTTCCTGATTTCCCATTGGAGAAAACTGCATATGGATGCTGTTTCTCCCTGCATTTCAGACTTGGTTTTCTACCAGATCAGATGTGTGCTCCCTTGTGCTTGGCATGGAGAGAGGAAAGGCTTGTAACATTCCTCCAGGAATTTGCTATGTGGAGATTTGATGAAAGAACACATGTATGCATTGCCACAAAAACAAGAATGGAGTTTTGAGGTAATGGAAATAACCTACAGATCCAAAGAATGGGGATAAACTCATCTTTCTGGGGCAGATTCACCTCTGAGTTCCACTGTGAGTCCCTTCCACAGTGCAGATGCTTATCTCAAAGCCTCCTAAAATTCATGACTAGATGATCTTCGTGGGCTTTTCCAATCATAACGATTCTGTGTAAACTATTCTGAGGACAAATCTATTAAAATTATTCCTTATCACAGCAGCTGGGGAAATGTAAACCCCCAGGCAAACAAACAGTTGTAGTGACAGCACATGAGGCTATCAATTTGAAGTAAACAGTGTCACTACACTGCCTGACATCATTGCTCTTTGTATGAGGAATGTCTATATTAGATCATCCAGATCTGAAGCATAGAATCTCTGTATTAGACCAAAGCACGGGGGAAAAAAAAAAAAAAAACCTCTGAGGGATGCCCAAATAAAACCTTAATTTTTTCTGGACCTAATCCAATATCAAATGCCAAAACCCTACTTTAGTCCTCCAACATCAAGAGCCTCTGACCTTGGGTTTGTTCCCACGTCACCAGGCAGCTATTTTCTTGTTCTGTAGAACAGAGTTTCTGTTGCACTGAATGCCAGTGGGTGGATGTTTTCCCCTGCTTTGCAATCTTCGTAAGATCTGTGAGACACAATTCCTCTCTCTCAGACTGAAGTTTTGTAATTAGCGCTGTATAAATCCATTAACAGCCAAATCTTGTAAGACAGAGACCATACTTCAGCTGTCTCCTGAAAGCTTGGCACAAAGAGGAAATCCATATTCACAGTGACTTTGTGATCAGTGGCTATTTCACTCTCCAGATCTACATGAAACAACAGCAAGGATAAAACATGGGGCTTACAGGAAAAACAAAGCCTTTAGACCTTGATCTACAGCTTGTTGGAGCACCAAGATCTATATTTGCAGCTGGGGAAACTACTTGCAAAGAAGCCAGAAGAGAATCCTCAGTCTTCAAAGTCTGAGATTTTACTACATATTCAAAAGGCAGCTGGAGCAGAACAGCCTGAGAAACAGAAGGTAAAAGCAACAGGAAGATCAGAGATCGTACCAGGATGAAGGATAAAGTTCCACTGGATCCATTGTGTAGAATCATGGAATCATAAACTATTCCAAATTGGAAGGGACCCACAAGGATCACTGAGTTCAACTCCTGTCTCCACACAAAAGCTCCTGAAATCCAAACCCTATGTCCGAGTGTGGTATCTAAAGTTTGATGCCGTGACCACTTCCCTGGGAAGCCTGGGATGCCTAAGCACACTTTAATGATTAACTTTTTCCTTTTCCAAAACCTTACAGTCATAAATAGGTTAAACACATCAGGAATAGAAAGAAAACATCGTCAACGGCCCTGTATAACTTAGGAGGGAACAGAGAAAGGAATGGTGATTTCTCTTCAGTGGCACAAGATTTGCAGCAAGGGCAAGAACAGTCCCCCTTTATGCTTTATTCAACAACATTTTTTCCTCTCATTTTGTGGCAGATATCCAGATTGTTTTGGAGCACCAACCACTGGCCACTCATGGGGACAGTGGGAGGAAAGACCTGACAAAGCAAATCCTTCAGCTTCTTCCCACGTGAAAGGCTAAAGACAGTTGGATCAACTCACAGCCAGATCTTGAGTCCAACACACACATTATCACTCATGGGAAGAGGCCATGCTGACTGGCATTTGCTCTTTCAAACCTAAACGAGAGCTACAATTTACTGCATTAGCAATATTTTTGTGGTCATGTCCCTACTGGATAAAGATCATGAAAAAAAATATATTTGACATCTCCTTTGAATCATAAAATCATTAAGGTTGGAAAAGATTTCTGAGATCATCTAGTCCAACCATCAACCCATCCTCACCATGCTCACTAACCGTGTGACACATCTACCCTTCTCTTGAACACTTCCAGGAACCACCTCCACCAGTTCCCTGGGCAGCCTATGTGCATAACCATTCCTTTCAAGAATAAATGTCTCCTAATTTCCAATCTGAACCTCCCCAACTCAACTTGAGGCCCTTCTGTCTCTTCCCAGTTACCTAGGAGAAGAGGCCAACCCCTATCTCACTACAACCTCTTTGCAGGTCTTCCTGGTCTGCTTAGTTCATACCTTGTGCATATAAAAGCAATTCCTTACTCTACTTTGCTTTAAATTATTCTGTTTCTCTTATCTCTGTGGGTATGAGATCTCAGACTGCTGCCTAGTCCAGACTTCTGCCCCAAAGTTCACCAACTCCAAATTCCAGTCCATTGCAAATATGAGTTGCTACAAAGCATGACCTCTTCTTTACAAATGAAAAGTTACAGAACAAAACAGGCATTTTTTTTCTAAACAATGCAAATCTACTGCATGCTTTACTTGGTTCTCCCCAGCAAATGTATTAAAAGCCGTATAAAAGTTGTTTATAAATTGTAACTGTGCTGCCATAAAATAACTTTTTGTTCAGTTCTAAGCAAAGCAGGGTTCAATGCAGCATCTGTGTTCAGAATTTCCCTCTGAGAAAGAGCATCCAAGATCTGCCCAAATGAAAGAGGGCTTCCCTCAGAGTACTTTGGCTGAAGTTTTTTGTCCTTACTCAACTTGGAATTTTTTTGCCGATCCAAAAGGCAAACCATGCTGATGGAGTCCCTATGCTTGCTCTAACAGAGCAATCCAGCTGAGACACAATTTCAAGCCCAGCACTAGGAAGGAGAATTGACTTGTTCTGCTGATAGTCTTAACTCAGGCGGGGTATAAGGAAAAATTTTCTTCTCAGAAAGAGTGGTGAAGCATTGGAACAGGCTGTCTAGGGAGGTGGTGGAGATGTTCAAGAAAAGGGTGGATGTGGCACTGAAGGACATAGTGTAATGGGCTTAGACTGGATGGTATTAGGGGTCTTTTCCAACCTTAATGCTATGATTCTGTAATGAGGCGGTGTAGATACAGCCCTGATAAGCAGTGGCTTTGTGAGCATTTTTTTGGGAAAAAAAAACAAACAACAAAGAACACTAACAAAGCCATCAGTCAGACATCTGTCCTTTAAGTCAGTACTGCCACAGTCCAATGAATCCCCATTTTACAGGCTGGATGATCACAGCCATCACTTTCAGCAAAGAACTAGTAGCACAACTATTTTTTTCCCTTTCTTCTCTTCCAAATAATAATAATAATTGTTATTATGGGAATAGTAACAACAGGCTTGCTCCTAATTTTCTCTTCCAGTGCCTTTGTCACGTTAAGGCAGAGGACAACCTAGCTGCTGCCAACATATACAAAAGCCAATGGGAAGTTATTCTTAGAGCCCTGCCCGGCTGTTGCTGCAGGATAACTAGCATCAAATCATGCCTGACAGCCTCAGGATACTGCTGAGCTAGACAGGACACCTATGGCCGGGATCTGATCTAGACAACAGACAGAACTGTGCTAATACAGGCAAAAAAAACCATAATCACATACTATGTTTGTTAACAGAAAGATTAGGAGAGCTGGTGTATACCCACACAAACAGCATTTGCAAGGAGAGACACAAATCCATCCTGCACAGCATACAGACATTTAGTTTAGCATGGAATGAGGCAATACCCAGTACAGGGCACTGTGTGCATGCGTAATTACATCAAGCATTAACAGCAACAACTGCAGCTCAAGTTGCCTGACATGTTTCACAGCAGGGCTCAGTTTTAAGGTCCTCATTACTTTGACAGTCTTCAACCACTCCGGAGACGATTTCCCCAGCTCAGTGTCGGCCTCAGGCTAACATCTCTGGAGAAAGTTGCATTCAGAATGGCATGGACAATTTTGAGAACTAAATTAGGAGAAAAGTTTTTGCGAGTTATTAATATTTGCATCTGTGTATGTTTGACCTTGGTTATATTCTTTCCACTGTTTTGCTGAAGCAGGTGATAATAACTGGGAGGGTGTTGTCAAGAGCACCCTTTGGCCATGCTTCAAAGTGTCTACATTTAACAGGTTACAGCATCCAATAATCAGTGCATCACATATGAAGAATTGTCTCCCAGCATGGATCAGCCAGCACTTGGGCTATCACCATAGGATTAGCAAAACACCAGGGATAAAAGGACTAAGCAGGTTTTTCCATTTGCTGTGTCAGCTGGAGGATGCAGTGGTGCTAAGGAAACTCTTCTGTGTTCCCTGATGAAGTTATGCTGCAGCTCAGTTTAATTAACCCAACTGGAAACCAACAGTAGAGCATGTTCTGACACAAGGAAAGGAAGGCTGGAAGTGGAGGAGGAAGAGAAAAGTGGGTAGAGATAATTTACTAAAACGGATATGAGCACAGAGTGGGACACGTGGGAAGGCTGCGGATTTGTGAGTTCTGTAAGCACTGAAACATCCTCTCTTCATGAATAGCACATTGATCTCACAGCTCCTGATTCCCATAAGATGGGCTTCCTCCAGCTACTGACACATCCGAGGTCAAATCACTTAGACAAGATTAAAGTTCTGGGGAGAAATTTCCATTTTTGGCGTGTGTGAAAGCTTGGAAAATTTGTACTGAAACAGAAGGTGCATCTATAAGAAACTTAAAGAGAAGGGAGAAAAAAGCAGGTAATTGCTGAATTTTATAAAGTGCAATCATAGAGTTATAGAGTTATTTGAGTTGGATGGAATCCTTAGAGGTCATCTATTCCAACTCCCTGCAATGAACTGCGACATCTACAGATCAGTCAGGTTGCTCAAAGTCCCATCCAGCCTGACCTTGCATGTGTCCAGGGATGGAACCCATTTCCTAACTTTGGACGTGGTTTATAGGCAGTATTGGTGGTAGGTGGATAGCTGGACTAGGTGACCTCAGAGGTCTTTTCCAACCTCAGTCATTCCATGACTCTAAGAGCCACCTACAAATACCCCAGAGAGATAGAGGACCAGGGTAGAGAAAACCAGCCCATCTCTTCATTCCCCAGCTATGAGCCACTGTGCCACAGCTACCTCTCTGCAAAGCCATTTGTGCAGCATCAAGGCTACCTCCCTTCAAGCTGATTTTTTTCCATTACTGTCTCCTAGAGTGCATGTTTTAGGAACACACACATACCCTAATGGCTCCGGAGCTGTAAATTCCCATCAGTCTTAAACTCATCCACTCTGTGAGCGCTCTGCCAACATCAGCAGAATAGGTGCATTACACACTCTGTTGTCATTGTTGAAGTTGCTTTAAATAGTCCAGTGGTGACTGCACTCAGTGCGTCTGCACAGATGCATCCAGGGTGTCCTGAGATGATACAGAGCAGAGCCTTGCTCCTGGCAGCAAGCCTGCAGAGCTGGAGGGAAGAAGGGAGGAGGCATCTGATCCAGATACTTTGCTGCTAAAGCTCTCTACAGTCTATACATGTGTGTATAAACACAAACACCGGGAGGAGACACTCTCAGGCTGCCTTCAGAATAAGAACCAAACCTACGAGTTCTTTCAATTTGCAAAAGATGGTTTAGGGGATTGCAGTAACCAAACCTGGGTTGTGGCTACCCCTCAAGGAAAAGTTTTGTGCTTGCTGAGATTGCTGCAAGCAGAACGTCACTCCAAACTCTAATTTAATCCAGATCCAAACACCATCTGCGTTATTGTTCTCTGTCTAATGGCACCTGTGTCTAAGGCGAGGGGCATTTGTAACGTGGGAGTGTGGGAAGGCTGTCACTTTTGGTGAAATCCTGTTCATTACGAATGAAGGTCCTAATAACAGGATGTTAGAACTGGAGAAACACTGCAGAGGAGATGCATGTGTGGTGAAAGAGCAAGACTCACTGGGAACTGTTCTCCACGTGCCCTTCTGTACCCCACAGCTCATTGCAGAGAATAAGCCTGCCCATTTTCCTCCTCCTCCATCCTTCTCCAGGACAGAGGGAGCTCTAGCAGAAGAGTGAACACATGCACTTTCAGCAGTGCACGAATCCCAGATACTATCAGTCCCATGCATTCCTGCCTTTCTGGGATGCAGACACCACTGCTTCGATCCAGGAGCATCCCATTGATCTCAGAGAGCATCATGTGTGCTCCAGACTAGGATCCTACATGGCTGCGATGCTCAGACTGGGGCAGCAAAGGAGGCTCAAGAGGCTGCAAATGAATTTTCATTGGAGCCTGTTAATAATTTGCTTGAAGAGAGGAATAGAGAAATGCAGTTTGCGTTATTGGCAGTGGGATTTGGCTGAATTCAGCTTTGGCTTGCAATGGGTGATGCTGAACTTACTCGGATGGGCATGAGGAGCATGCTTAGTGCCACTTGGGAACTCTTCCTTAATAAAACAAAAGCACAGAGCTAAGGATGGACTGGGTCACTTCCCAAAAAGCAGATAGGCCTAATAATCTAATAACTCTTAGCCAGATGGGCCCTTGTGAGGTCAGTGTTAGCAAACACACCCAGGAAATGTAGGAGTTGTGTGGACCAAATCGCACTCCACCAAGACCATGGCCATACCTCAATACTATGGATCTGTCAAACTCCTACCTGTCTTCTGCAGTAAAAAAAATCCTATCAGAATGAACCCACAGCTCACAGCTGCAGTCCTTCCCAAGGCCCAAGAGCCAGGATCAAAATTGCCACAGCATCCACAGGTGCAAAAGATGCTATCACAATTCACTGGGTTATTAATAGCAAGATCTTTTGCCTCAGTGGTCATCTGCATCCCATACACCCACACAAATGTAACACTTTAGCAACTAGAACACTCATTTAGTGAAAAAAATTCCCTCTTTTCTCTGTCTTCAAATCATGCAAAAAAGGCAGCACTCAACAGACAGTTTCCCTGGTAGAACCCGTGCAGACTAACACTGTGCCAAGCACCACGACCTCAGAACGGAGGTTTTCCTACAGAAGAAATAAGACAAATGAACCCTTCTTCTCTCCCTGGCTTTCTGTCTACAGCTCCCACACATCACTACCAGTGGGGCTTTAAAACTAAAGCAGACTGGGTCTACGTGGCTTGAATTTAGTCTGGAAATTTATCTCTCCTCCTGAAAGCTCTGTGTTTGCTTGATCTTCCTGCCTTCCAAGTCCTACAAGTGCCACATGTTGCACAGCTGGATTCCTGACAGAGAAAGAAAACAGAAGAGACAAGAGATTTATATATATATATTTATATATATATATACACACATACTTATATACACACACATATATATGCACACACTTGAATACAATGGCCAAAGCTTTCAAAAGTCAACTGCAAATTTCAGCAAAACAGTTCCAGATATCCAAGAGACCTACAAGCAGGCAACACAGAGCTCTTGATCCTCCAAAAATTTGCTCTCTGTAGACAGAACAGGAAGAAAAAGGACTTGGGAGGCTTGGAAGGTGTTGCTGCTCAGAAGATGCTCCTGATCACCTCTTTCAGGGAAGGTTCAGGTTGGATCTTAGGAAAGATTTGTTCTCCAAAAAAGTGGTGAGGCATTGGAACAGGCTGCCTGGGGAGGTGGTGGAGTCACCATTCTTGGAAGTCTTCAAGAAATGTGGAGATGTGGCACTGAGGGACGTGGTTTAGTGGGCATGGTGGGGATGGGCCAACAATTGGACGTGGTGATCTGAATGCTCTTTTCTAACCCTAGTGATTGTATA